CTCGGGCTGAAGCCCAGGCGAAAGTTGCCCTTGGGCCTGCCCGGGCTGGTGGGACCCAGCCATTGCCCGAGCTCTTTTCTGCGCGCTGGAGGGGAGTTGGGCTGCCAGGGGGGGCCTTTTGCCCAGGTTTGGGTGAGCGCTGGACTTGCTCTTAATGTTTGCTTGAAAAATTTCAGTACTTTCTTTCAAGCACTTCAAATATGTGAGCAGAGTGTGCATGGTGGCATGGGATCATTAAACCAACCCACATGAGTACCCTGAATCAATGATGAACTCAATCATATCCAATGTCAACAGTTCGCTAAGTCCAAGGCTAGAGACTAAGCATTGATTGAAGAACCTCTCTTAACTTGTCTTTTCTTCTGTCTCATCATTTTAGTCATATTTTACAAACTATGGACAAGCAAGATCTGTGCATAATTAGACAGAAATTTAGCCTTTTCACAACTTTTATTATCTTAACTTAGCTTGTAACGCGTTTTTGCGTCTCCTGCACTGTGCATCTTTTACAGATTTTTTTTCTTCTCCGGATATTCTATTTCCTACATTGCCATTGACCAAAAAATTTGACAGTTCACAAAGCGAAGTTTATGATAATGGAATGAGGAACAGAAAGTCTTTGGTTTACTTTCCCCCAAAAAGAAAAGAAATCTATGTTAACTATGTAGTTTTGATCTTGTTAAGAATTGGAACCAGGCTCTGATACTATGTTAAGATTTTAGAGGGACGGACCTTTGGCCCACCACTAGCAACATCGATATTGTCCCCAACTTAACCACCTGTTTAGCAGGTGTGAGGTTTTATACAAAAGGTCTCGATGTTATTAGGAGTGGAACCATTTATTATATGAGACTTTCTATTTTGTTAAGTTTCCGATGTGGGACTCGTGTATTCTTCAACAGATCTGTCCTCAGTTTCCAAGAGATCAATACTTTAATGCATTATGCCAGAGACATCTATATGTTCTGCTGTGTAAAGTGCTTTTAGAGGGCTTAGTTGCATTGCTTTCAGTCACATCTACAGAGCATGTGCTCCACATCCTTTTGGAAAATGTAAGCTGGAAAGTTCAAAAAGATTTTGAATATTCTATTAGCCGTTCAGATTGACTGAGAATTGGATACATAGTTTCATGCAAAACCAATAATTTTTCAGTAAGATGTATATTTCTATTTATATATACTGCCAGAGCTATGTTGTTTGTACAAGCTTCTTCAAGCTTTCTGAGGTTTGAAAGCCTCAGACATGGTTGAGATTTTAGCATACAGAAGTTGGGTGAAGCTGTTGGTTTTATGTCATTTTATTTCTTTGGTTGCTATCTCGACGGTTGAAGCTAGAATTCGGCATTACAGATGGGAGGTGAAGTATGAGTACAAATCTCCAGATTGCTTTAAGAAGCTGGCCATAACCATTAATGGAGAAACCCCAGGACCAAAAATATTGGCACAGCAGGGTGACACAATTGTAGTTGAGCTTAAGAATAGCTTGATAACTGAGAATGTAGCAATCCACTGGCATGGAATTCGACAGGTAGTTTCGTACTCTGTTGTTCATTTTCAAGTCAGCATTTGGATATAAAAAAATTTAGATGTGAACCTTTTTGTTTGTTTTTGTTTTCTGTATATAAATTGCAGATTGGAACACCTTGGAGTGATGGAACAGAAGGTGTGACTCAATGTCCAATTTTTCCAGGAGACACCTTCATATACAAGTTTGTTGTGGATAGGGTGAGTTTTGGGATCTTGAACCAATTAATGCAATGAGCCAATGAGCAATACTTTTATATTGTTTGCAGGGGATTTTTCTGGTCAAACAGTCAGGTATGTTATGTTGCTAAACTGCTAATCTGGACCGTTGATCATGTGAAATCATTTTTCAATTTATGGCACTAGATTGACAGTTTGACAACATCACATGCTACAAATGTGAGAAGAAAACATTGCCCATTGTTTACATATCTGCACCAGCTCTGTGAATATGTTTCTGATTATAAACAATGTTTTAATTCATCGTAC